TCCTGGCACCTCTTCAACCAAACATTTTTGGCACTCAGGGAAAACAAATTAATGATGTTGTCTAATGGCATTCAAAAAGGCTCAATATATACTTGTTACTGAATGGTGCTATTCAATAAAAATATATTAAATATGACTAATAAAGGAGAGGTTGGAATGTTTACAAAATTTTTAAAAATGGAGGCTTTTGTTTCCTAAATATGTGTTACATCTAAAGTTAAGTCAGACTATTGGCCATCATTAGTCCTAAAATAATTTGCTATAAATAACAATGTTAAAAAACTAACAATGAAGATGTAATTGCTTTATTTCATATGGTAAATCAGTTAAGATTTCTTATCAATTAATATAAATGATTAAGGAAAGATTTATCTTATGCTCTTTTTGGTTCTAAGAAGGACCATCAGATGAGAGTCTGAGAAGAACAGAATGCCTAACTCAGTCCCGTCCTCTCCTTTTGAGCTCTGCCTGCCTCATAAGAATATGCATTCTCATCTGCTCTGGCTGTGGCCTGCGACTGTCCAGTTCTGCCAGTGACTGGGTAAGTAAACATGACTATTTCAGGGCTGAATTCAGCGAGTCCTTTATTGCACAGACCCAAGCCACATTCTTGAGTATCAACTGTATTGGTATTACATAATAAGTAATAAAGCTGCAACAAAATAATTCATCTGTCTGCCTTCTGATCTCTCTCTTATTTGGTTCTAAGTTTGGGTGACCTCTCTCTTAAGCCAACAAATTTAAAAGTAATGATAATTTGTAAGGGATTTAAAAAGGACACTGTATTACATTTACATGCTTCTCAAATATAAATTGGAATTAAGTTAAAAAATAAGGAGAGTTTCTTACAGAAGATCTAATTGGTAAACATTACATTTTAAAAATATACAACAAAATATAACAAATACTACAGTAATTAACAGTGGCAGTTATGAATTTTTAGACAACTAAAATGTTACTCATTTTGACAAGTTTAAACCAAATGTTTTCTTTTGTCAGCTTTTGTTCTGGGACTAAAGGTTAATTATTTTTAAGAATGCTGAATAAATATTATTCTGCTATTTTCAGACTTCACTATAATCTTTCAGTTTGAGCAAATCAGTAAGAAGGAAGATAACAGCAGCCTCCTTGTAGGACTGTAATGAAGAAAACAGGAGGCATTTTGAGAACCCAGCATGAGACCTGGCCCAGAAAAAAGACTCAATACATGTCATTTCCCAACCCATGTCTCTCAAAGGCAAAAATGATGCACTGAAATAACACTATTAAGCATACTTTAAAAACTAGTCTGTAGCTAGTTGTCCATGTCTAACTAGTCTGTAGCTAGGTGTCCATGTCTATTTTAGCTTGTTCACCATTTAGCTCTAATCAAGCAAAGTCTCACAATCAACACCTCAATCCCTTTTTAGAAATCATGGTAAGAACTGGTTGGCTCTAGTGACATACTGAGCTACTCACTCACCACAGGTATTTCTCACTAGTGGAGAATGTTCAAGCACAAATGGCCAAATGTTAAATATATGGCTACATATTTCTAAATTTAATGGAAATGGTGTCTAAGAACAATTTTAGTTTATTAATTATATCCAATGAATAAGAATTTTTTTTAAAACATTTTTCAAATTAGTCACAACAGTACAGATATAACTTTCTATCTTTTCATTAGTTAAGAGTTTACTGAATCTTTGTGATATTCAAATCACTCATTATATTAGAGGTTTAAAGCATTGCATACACATATGTTTCTAATCAACCAATTAAAAACTTTTGAGAGAATTTGTTAATAGTTAATGAGACTTACAATAACATAGGACGTAAGACAACTAAGTCAAACATTATAAATAGATAGAGAATAATTATTAAAGCATCTCATATCTGCTTATTAAAAAAACAAATATTCCTAAGATTCTTCTAGTCTAGTAGACTGTGGAAGCCTAACTGATGAAATACATGGGATACATACATATGTAGGATATTACTTAATAATTCATGTTAATAGCCAAGAACAATTCCCTTAACGGCTCTAAACATTCTCATTACCTTGTAAACATTCCTAAGTCTGAGAGAAGGAAATTACCTCAAACTACTCAGTAACCAACAGCACATCATGACATTAAAGTAAAACAAAAATAAGATTTAAAAACAAAACAAACTTCCGGGTAATAAAAATTAACTTCCCGGTAATAAAAATTAGTAACTTCCCTGAATAGGGCTTAAAACAATGGCTTGCCATAGTTCTCCCTCCCATTTTTAAAAGAGCTATTTTAAACCTTTCCCCACCTCTTCTCATGTTCCTACTCTACCATCTCCTCCCTCTATCATTCTTGGCAGATAATCTATCCTATTATTTCATAAGCAAGGAAATGTACATTCTCTAAATGCATTAATGTTTCTATCCTCTTCCTGTTGTATCCAACACAAGCTCATGGGTGATATGTGAACTAACCTTCCTTGCACTCTTGCCCTTCTGCCTTACCAGCATATAAAAACCTCAATCTCAATAAATCAGGTATTGCTTTCTCTACTTTTTCACACAGGCCAGTACAGATAAGGTCTAGTATAAATTTATCATCTCCAACCTTCACTGAGCTGACAATACTAATCAATTCTTTTATTGCCCCCTTTCAACTCTCTTTCTCACTCATTCCCTTTCACTAGTATTCCCAACAACAAAAATAATAATATTCATGTAATAAAAACAATAATAGATACAATAATAATAATAATAATAGGCACACATTTCTTGGGACACACTTATTAAGTGCTGTAAGTATGTTATCTGCATTTTACTCTCACGACAACCCAATAAGGTTGACATTATTATTTTACGGCCCAGAAATCGAAGGTAACTGTTCCTCCCCAGTGCATTAGACAACTAGAAGTCTAGTTCCTTAAGAGGAAGAAGAGAGATATCACCGCAAATCAAAGACAAGAACACTGATATGTAAACATTGGAGATTAAGTGATAGTCTATCTACTGAACATGAGACATATTAAAACAATAAATAAATAAAATAGTAATAATAAAACAAGAAAGAATTCAAGGAAATTAAAACTGGGATAGTAATAGCACAACACTACTCTAAAAGAGCTAACGTTTGATTGACAGAGGTCCAGAAAAGGGGGAACATACAAATACAGGGGAGAATATTCTCAAAGAAATCTTTCAGAATATTTACCCAGACTGAACAATACAAGTTTTCAGATTAAGAAGGCTTAAGCTGAAGCCACAAAAAATTTCAAAATAACGAGAAAAGGAAGAGCCTAGAAAATTTCATACAGAAAGATAGATGAACAGAGAAAATAATATAGACAAGAAGTGAGACTAGATGGGATAGAGCCAGTTAGAGATTGGGGCACAGGGTGAGGGGGTGGGTGTGGAGAAAGGCATAGCCAAGGGCATGGAGATAGATCTGGAAAAAGGGAGATCCAGGGGAGAAGAAAAAGAGAAAGGGGAGAGTCAGAGACAGGGAGAGAAATAGGGACAGAGAGGAGATAAAGAGAGAAATGGGAGGACAGAGAAAGACAGTGATGGAGAAGAGAGAGATGAAAGGCATAGAGAGACAGACAGAGATAAGAAGAAAGAAATGGAAACAGGGGAAGGCAGGGAGACACAGGATGAAAAGGACAGAGACAGGGCAAGGCAGAGAAAATGTGGGAGGGAGAGAGAAAGAGAAGGAGGAAAAAGAGCGAGAGAAGGGAAACCAAGAAACAGAGACATGGAGAGAAAGAAATTGAGACAGTTCTGAAGTCTGAGGAAAACAAGTTCTATAATAATAGAATAATAAAGGTAGTACCATATAAGGTTCATCTTTGAATAAATTTAAATTTACACCACTATCAGTAGAGAGCAAACACTGATTACTGCTTACACAAGCAGCATAACTAATAGGGAAAGGATGAGGAGGGCAGCGTGTATGAATGAGTGTATGTATGTATGTTACTGTCTGGAGGGAGGGGAAGTAAAAAAGCTAATTCTCATATTCCTCAGTAGGAAGTCAATTAAAACTACACAACCAACAGCAGTAAAAATATGTTATTTAAAAGCCCGTCATGGCAACAGCAATTAGTGGTGAAGAGCGGGAGAGCACCTATAAGCCTGTGAAACTATCTGACTTTTTTAAATGATGTATTTGTGAACTTTTGATACACATAAAAAAATTATTATTATTATTATTTTTGAGACAGAGTTTCGCTCTTGTCACCCAGGCTGGAGTGCAATGGCGTGGTCTCAGCTCACTGCAACCTTTGCCTCCCGAGTTCAAGAGATTCTACTGCCTCAGTCCCCCGAATAGCTGGGATTACAGGCACTTGCCACCATGCCTGGCTCATTTTTGTATTTTTAGTAGAGATGGGGTCTCACCATATTGGCCAGGCTTGTCTTAACCTCCTGACCTCAGGTGATCCACTTGCCTTGGACTCCCAAAGTGCTAGGATTACAGGCGTGAGCCACCGCGCCCGGCCTAAAAAAAGTTATTTTAAAAATACCCAACAAGTTTGCTACATGTAATTTACAAAATATATTACAACATTAACTCTATTTGGTTTATCTATAGCCTATAACCATCCTCTTACAGTATCTCTTAAACAACAGCAAATTGTAATGACTTTTTAAAGTGTACAAAGGGCTTGGGCAGTTGTACCATTTGGTGTAATAAAATCATCACTTTAAAAGATAACAGAAATAACACAATTGATAATTTACAATCTATTCCTCTTCCAAAACTCAACCATAACAGGGACATTTTAAACAATGGTTCACAGTTTGCACTTTACCTGTTAAAAAATCAAAAAGTCTCACTGAATGTAGTTTATTCTGACTAGTTTCACATCAAGTCACATTGCTTTATAGCAGATTGGAAAGATGAAACAAGAACAGCAAACTTCTTAAAAACTAACTCATCCTATCATTTTTTTCTGCCTATGGCTTACCAGTAACCTTCAGATTCTTGTAGTGCCTCCCAGTCCTGGAAGGTGTGTGTCTGGCAACCTGGACTTACCCTGTTAAACACTGGCAGCATCATATACAGTTTCTCTTCTTGTTCCTTCTGAGTCATGTGCCGGGGAGGATGGCACAACTCCGTGAAGAGCCGGCGGAGGTGCATCAGCCCTAAGGCGTTGTCTTGTGGGCTACACTCCTCCTGCCTCGGCCGCCCCATGATCCTCTTCACCATGTTCATCTTGGCTGGTTGGTGAGACACACTTCTAATTCTGTTGGAAAATGTCAATACGTGAAGAGTCAAAACATCATCATCTTGACTAGGTCAAACATGCATGTAAGAGCTTATAAGAAAGTGGCAAAATAGAAAATTCTGTCTAAAATATATCTTTCTACTTCTTTAAACAGAAAAGACAGAGAAGCAAAATTTGATGAATCCCCCGAAGGACAAATTATTAATCATAGCACTGGAAGTTCCTACTCACTCTGCCACAATTTGTATAAAATGTAAAACATTAATCAGACAAGTAACAATGTTTCCAATTAGTTTAGTCATATCAAGTTCAAAAATAAAGGCGCCAGGCATAGTGGTGCACACCTGCAATCCCAGCACTTTTGGAGGCTAAGGCAGGCGAATGGCTCGAGCTCAGGAGCTCAAGACCAGCCTGGGCAATATGACAAAACCCCATCTCTACTAAAAATACAAAAATTAGTCAGGTATGGTAGTGTGTGCCTATAGTCCCACCTACTCAGGAGGCTGAGGTGGGAAGATAACTTGAGCCTGAGGGGCTGAGGTTGCAGTGAGCCAAGATCACGCCACTGCATTCCAGCCTGGGTGACAGAGGCTCTGTCTTTAAATAAATAAATAAAAAAATAAAATAAAAACACAAAGGGATCACAAAACTTACTATTAACAGACTTCTTAATGGTTAATGTAAAATTAATGAAAAAACAAACTTTATCCTAATCTCAAAACATCGAAGACAATCAAAAACCCCAAAACCTCACAACATTTTCTATTTTTCGTTATTTAATTTATAATTACTTTTTTTGCTAGAAAATTCAAGTATACCTTGAGTATCTGAAGAACAGTATATATTATAGATTAAAATGTGCACATTAAACACAATAATATCCTAACTTATAAATCATAAAAGGATAGTGAAAATGATCATGTGACTGAAGACTACTTTCTATAGTTCGGTAAGTCATGTTAAATCATTTAGTGGATAATGATGCGCATTTTTCAAAGAAGTGAAATAGGGGGGGCGGAGCAAGATGGCCGAATAGGAACAGCTCCAGTCTCCAACTCCCAGCGCGAGCGACACAGAAGACCGGTGATTTCTGCATTTTCAACTGAGCCTCTGCTGCTGACACCCAGGCAAACAGGGTCTGGAGAGGACCTCAAGCAATCTCCAACA